TTTGCCGTTGAAACATGACCCGCTCGTTACAAATGTCGATAAACTCTTCAAACTTGGCGATCGTGACTCGTTGCTCTTCCAGTTTGGTCTTCAGCTCGCCGATTTCTTTGTCCTTGTCCTCCTCCATCTTCTTCATGTCTTCTCGTGCTTTCGCAAGCTCACGCCTCAAATCTGCGCGTATGCGGTCTTCAGGTGATTGATGAGGTTTGCTGTATATCGCAGGTCTGTTCTCTGCCAGGCCAGTCGCCACTTTCTGAGGGTTGCGGTTGATGGCTGCACGAGCATTATATATGTCTCTCGGAAGCAAGTGACAATCAGGGTTAGCGGTTTGCAAAATCTGCAATGTCTCTGAGACCCCAGCACCTGTTTGTCAGTTAGTATGAAATTGACTAGGGTTATATAAAGACTGACCGTTTTCTTTGAGTTCCTTCACTGCAGCAACCATCTTGCTGTCAAGCTTTCGAGCAGCAGGGTGGTGTGAAGGGCTCTCACTAGGACCGTGGTTGTGTGAGAGATGGGTAGGGTCCGGACGATATCGAATCGTCCACTGGGTTCGCTGCTCAATGGCAAAGAACCCAAAGGGGCAATCGCATTTCCGGGACGAAGTTTTGCGCTTTCGGCACTCGGGGCTAACACGGCTCGGCGGCTTGCCTGCGCGATCACAGACAAACAAAACTTTCTTCAATCCCGGTACGGTCTTCTTAGAGCGGCCGATGACAATGGCATAGCCGACAGACGTACAGTACCGAAGCACGGCTTTCTGCACAGCTTCAAGAGTAGGGTAGCTTCCACCTTCCGGTGGGGGCGACATCATCTCGCCCAGCGGCTGTTGGGGGATGTAGTTGGGGTCAGCAAGCAACTTCATATCCAGGCCCCCCGACTCTTCGCCGTTGGTGTGACTATCAATATCCATTGCTTCATCTCCATTAGTCTCCTGCTTCTGTGGTGGGGCCTGCTGTTGCTGCGTCTGAGGCGCGGGTGCCGGTACGGGAGGCTGTTGAACTGGCTCTGCGGGGAGCGACTGTTGCTTCTGCTGCTGCTGAACCTGCTGTTGCTGAGCCTGTTGCTGATCTCGCTGGTCCCGCTGCTGCTCCCTCTGAGACTTCTGGGGTTTCGGCTGACGCTGTGCCTGCTGGGGTTGTGTCCGTTGCGGCTCTTGCTGCTGCTGATGAGGAAGCTGCTGTTGCTCCGGGGGCTGAGGAGTATGGATCTGCTGCTGCTGGGAGTGGAGCTGAGCTTGTTGCTGATGTTGCTGCTGCTGCTGCTGCTGATGGTGTTGCTGCTGATGGTGTTGTTGTTGTTGCTGCTGCTGCTGCTGAAGCTGCTGATGTTGCTGCTGCTGTTGCAGATGTTGCTGCTGCTGTTGTTGTTGCTGCTGTTGCTGTTGTTGCTGCTGCTGCTGCTGCTGCTGCTGCAACTGTTGCTGCTGTTGCAATTGCTGTTGATGCTGCTGCTGCTGCTGATGTTGTTGCTGCTGAAGCTGATGCTGCAGTTGTTGATGCTGCTGCGTCTGGGCTTGCTGCTGGCTTGGCTGCTGCGGCAGAGGGGGTGAAGGAGCTTGGGGCTTAACTTGAACCTGCCCGAGTTTCGGCGTAGGCTGAGCCTGTTGGGATAGAGGCCGCTGCTGCGGAGAGCCCTGGACATGGTGTGGGTGGTGGGTTTGCCGGGGGTTGTTGAGTGGGTGCGAAGGGTGAGTCAAGTGTTGGTGGTGCAACTGCTGCTGCTGCTGCTGTTGATGGTGGTGAAGCTGGTTGGGAACAACTTGTCCGAGAGTCGGAAACATCATCTGCCCACGCGGCGGCGGAACAGTTCGCGTGTTTGACACGTCGAGTGGACTCGGCACAGCATTGGACATGTGCGAGGAGGAAGAACGCGAGGAGCCATTGGGAAGATTACCAGTCACAGGACTCGGGTTGGCGAAGAGATGTTGAGGATAGCCAGGTGGCTGCTGCGGCGTATAGCCCTGAGGCTGATATGGAGACGCGGAGTGAGGCGCTGGTGATTGCTTACTCTGCTGGCTCGGATGAGGAGAGGGATATGGATTGCGGCGAAGGCCAGCCTGGGGGAAGTTTAGGCTAGCATGGGGATTTGATCCCGGACGTAGACTCGACATGTCGTCTCGTCAGGCCCCAGCAGAGGAGCCGGATTACAAACGCGAGAATTGGGACGCGCGGGGACCAGAATCTGGGGTCGGCAAGGTTGGAGGGGACGGCGGAGGTGTTGCTATCGTCGTTCGGCCGCGACGAAGCAAGCGGGAGGAGGGTGCGTGAAGAAGAAGTGACGTGACGTGACGTGACTCCGAGAGTCGATGGAGGGAGCGGGTTCGGAGTTGCGTGACTGTCGCGAGTCGTCCCCCGGTGATGATGATGAGGTCGGTCGGTCGTCGGTCGGTCGAGGCCAGGCGGTGTCGTGGCCCGTTGCCGAAGCCGAAACGCGGCAGGCGTAGCCGGAGACGGTGACCGGTGACGGTGAGCAACCTCAGGGACGAGACCGTGACCTTGACCTTAGATCTGGCCGGGCACGTAGGTGCGATACGGAGCGGAGCGCGGTGGTGTGCGGTGCGGTGCGGTGCAGTGTAGTTCGGATTGCGGAGCGTGTGGCCTTGCGTGGGAAGCAAGCAAACCCTGGGGCCCAAGGATCTTTGGGGGTGTCGATAATGGAGCAGCTGGGTTTGGGATGGGGGGAGGAGGCGTGGAGTTGTGGTTCAGCAGAGGCGTGAATAAAATTATGGAGAGGGACGAGCAGCCCGCCCGCAGCCCGGAAAAAAAATTTGGCCTGCCTTGCCTTGCCTGCCTGCTTGCCTAGGTGCTTCCTGCCTTGCCTGCCTGGCGTGACGAGGGAGGTTACGCGCCGGGGGGGGTAGGGCAAGTGGGAAGGGGGACCAAAGAGAAGGAAGTGGGTGAGCAATTGGCAGGGGGGGAGGGGCGAAGGGGAAACAGAGAACCCGGGGGCAGAGGGGAAGAGAAGCTGGGCTGGAGTGAGGTGAGGGTGAGAGGGGACGGAGGGGGGGCGCGTGTGAGCAAAGAGGACAATGGTGGAAGGGGGGAGGTGAGGCAGAAAGGAAGAAGCCGGTACAGTACAGTACGAGAGAGGGGAGGGGAGGGAAAAAAGCCAGCCAAGGGTGCGCAGAAGACACGCCTTTCCGAGAGAGAGATGGAGAGAGCAAGGACACAGAGGGGAAGGGAGGGAGTGGCAAGTGTGCAGGTGCAAGGTGTGTGTCCGTTGTCAATGTTTGATTGTGGGGGGCAGGGAGTTTTGCTTGATTTTCTCTGGGCGGCGTGGCGTTAGGCGTCGGCCATCTGGGGGAGAGAGAGTGCGAAAGTAGGTGAGGTCGAGAGTCCGTCCGTCAAGAGGAGGAAGAAAAAAATTGAGCCCCTGCCACTGGTTGGTTGGTTTGGTTGGTGGTTGGGTGTGTCTATTTTTTTTTTGGGCAGGTTCCCTTCTTCGGCAGTCGAGAAGGCGAAATGAGGCGGCGGGATGAAAGAAGGATTGATTTGCTAGTGGCAAATCATTCGTTTTCCGCTCGCCAATATCAACCGAAGAGAAGAAAAAGAAGCAAGCAAAGGGGAACCCCGGACTGGCTGAAAGTAAAAAATGAACACAAAACAAAAAACGCGACACCTAAATTCTCGTCCCGTCGTGTTTGTTGCCTTCCTGTTGTCGCCCTAGGTGGCTCTTCTTTTTTCCCAACTACGTACTCCCCTTTGAAGGGGACACGTGACGCCATCCCTTTCCCGCCCACCTGCTGCCCGCCTTGGGCGCTGCCCGCCTTACCCTTACGTGACCGAACCGTCTCACTCAGCCAACCAGCATCTATTATTAACAGGAAAACTTTCCCGAGCATTCCGCTGCAGAAGGCAGAGAAAGGTTTCGTCTCACACGAGAGAGACACGCACGCACGCACACACACACGCACAAACACAAACACACTCCCTGCCAAGTACACAAGACGCGTCGTCATTGGCGTGCTCTCCATCATTTCAGCCCCGATCTGAAAAAAGAGCCTCCTCACCCGATTTGTAATGCAACAAAATGCTAATGTATCTGCCGTGATGTTGAAAATCGCATTATAATCCGAAACCGAGCGGCACATCAAACTCACTCATCAATGCCATCAAAGAGTGTCTCGTCTCACAGCCTCCCCCCGCCCCCCCGGGTAATCCGTCATGCTCACAAGGCCCACCCTAGAGCTTAGCACGAGATGCATTTCATGGCACCGCTGCTTCCGAGATACGAACATGGCCAGGGGTTTTGTGCTTCGATTGAATCTGGCGTTTCGCTTGACGTCGATATAGGGTATATTAATAGCTTTGTGACAATCCAATTTCGGTTTCAAAGTAGCATGGCTTGTATGAGGTGGAAGCATGGTGAAAGTTTCAATTTCCCCATTGACACCTTGAAACAATGCGTTGAAGCTGGTTCAACATTTCATATTCAGACGCATTATCCATGATTCAATAATCCTTTTCATAGGCGTCATCCTGTCTCATTGTATGGATTCAAGGCTTGATGCCCCTTCCTTGTCAGCCGTTAATAATCACCGAGTCGTACGCAGCACAGCCATGCATCCTTGATAAAAGTAGATCCGAGCTCTCGTTGCTTACATAGAGTTAAGCCCACTCACTGCCACTCTTGTCATAAGAGGCTGTACCGAGGCTCTCCATCCCCATATAACTCGCACATTGTTCACACGTGGCATGTACATAAACTTTCATCCGATCGAGGTATATTTGTATTTCCTCTCTGGTAAATTTCATAGTTGAAACTATATATGCTCCTTGATATAGGTAGTTCATCCTATGGGCTGTTTCCGTGTCTTGTGCAGCTCATCATGCATTATCCCAATTGTGGTATCTTTTCAAAACAGGCGATGCTACGCCCGTGACAATTCCAAAACGCCGTGTCCGCTGTATATGTATAACGTATAATAAGGAGAGGAAGAAGGATAGTAATGGCCTCCTCGAAAGCGAGGTAGACCTCAGCGCGTCCAAGTCATCATGTCATTCCACCTTGCGTCGCTTCTTCGGCCGTCGCGCACCCTCTTGCCCATCAACGAAATGGTTCTTTTCGATCTGGTGCTGTCGTAGATTGTCTGGTCGGTTCTTGTACTGACTGGTACAGCCTGGGAATGGGCAGCGGTAGATCTTTGGTGGTGACGTCGCATGCTGCAGCTTCTTGTGCTTGGCCATGCTTCCGCTGAACCAGCGAGGATCGCCCTCTGGCCTATAGCCACAGATATCACAGCAGCTGTTTGACTTGACCTTGGCCGAAGAAGATCCCGCCTGGGCCGGTGACGGTGGTGAGTTTGCTGCCGTCGAAGGCCCACGTACCGACGTCGTATCTGCCGGGGTGGGGAGTGGTTGCGGATTCAGTGTGTAAGGGTCGATAGTATCCGGCATGGCCGGGAAATCAATGGGAGCGTCTGAATTAAAGACACCATTCTGGTTAAAGTCGAATGGGTCTGGAGTGATAGCCTCAAAGAATTCCTCGATATCGAGTGCCGAAATTGCAGGGGTTGCGCTTGGTACCGGTTGAGCCGGAGTTGGTTGAGCCAGTGTATTAATAATCGTTTCAATAAACTTGACGCCGTGACGATAGTAGGTTGACCGAGTATGTGTTTGGGGAATGTTTTGGTGATACAACGAGTCCATCTGTTGTCTAACGTGTTCGATATAGTGATCAAAGTAGATATCCGAGGGCAAACACATCTATTGCGATCAAGTTAGCAACCGAGTTTACCCTCAAACATGACACTACCTAGCTTACCTTTCCAGCATGCATCAGTTCGAGTTCCAGGCGCCGCAACGTCGATACAAAGTTTGAGTTGACACGTTGGACTAGGTCGTCTAGACTAGCAGCGAAGGCGGGGATATCGGTGTATGGTTGGAAGCTATGCTTGAGCATAAAGTTTGTAGCAATAGCATAGGGTGAACCGACGTGCATGGCCATAGAGGGATCGTGAACGTGTTGCATGTAAAGCTCAGACGCCTGAGTCTCAGGCTCATCCATAACCTGGATAGTTGCATATTCCAGCTGATCCAAGAAGTACCGAGAGACAAATGCCAGAGAATCGTTGGGGACAGGTGCCTGTTCACGTTCCTTGCCCTTCAAGCTCGAAGACCGTGATACAGAGGGAGAAGAGGCCTTGGCCCTAACGAGCTTAACGACTTCCGCTTCAGTCATATCGGCGGGCTTCCACAAGGCATCGACGATTTGGATGTAGTGTTGACGATCTTGACGAGAGAACCAGGCACTGTACGACATTGCTTGACCAAAGAGGTCTGTTGACCGGTTGGGAGCATCTTGCTCATGAACGACGAGGGAGAAGCAGTAGACCAGGTGGACAAAACAGAGAAGCTTTACGGGGGCGGTTGGCTGACGGCCTTCGAGTATATCGGCAAGAGTCTCGAGACCGTTGGTGGCTATCGAGTGCGCCGACATGGATCGAAGTTGGCTGACGAGAGGGTTCTTGGTCACTTGCTGTAGCTTGGTCATGGACTCGGCGACGTGCATCTCAAGAGCACCCCACGCTGTGCCGACAAGTGACCGAGGGTTGTGGTAGTATCCAACCGTCGGCACCGCCTGCGCGGGAGGTAGTGAGGGTGGCATTGTGGCATTGTTGTCAGTGAGGGCAAGGTTGGATCCAAGTGAGAAGTCTGAGGTAGGAAGGGGAGAGTCGTTCAAGGTAAAGATGGGTTGGTCAAGTGCAAGAGGGGGTTGAAGAGAGTCATCGTCAGACAAGGCACCAAGCATAGGCATATCTGCGGGGAGCTCCGGCATGTAGGAGTCATAGGACTCTGATGGCTCGTTGTTGTAGGTGCCCCAGTCCTTAGCCGTGGATGCCTTGCGGGATATGGCGAACGAGTTCGTCCTGAGGAGGCCTCCTGGGCTTGCTAGGTCGTCCGCCGGTGAAGTCAAAGTGGACTCGAAGCCCGTCGTCCTCGCCCAAGGTCCTGACCAGGCAGAGACGGGCGAGATGTTGTAGCTCGCTGTGCTCAAAGTGCTGTTTGTGCTCGCTGTCGAGTTGGTGCTGGCGGTCGAGCGGACCGAAGTACTAGGGGCAACTGCACCCTTGCTTCGGGTCTTTTGTTGTCTGCGGTACTCATCCAGATCCGTTGTACGGATATGGAGCTGGAGGACGGGCCGCTCCGGTCCTACATTGGCACCAGGGTCGATGAGGTTCACTGGAGCTACTGTATCTGGGAGAGTGTTCCAGTCAAGGAGGGGCTCACACAGAGTCGCGCCTGATTCGAGCTCTGCGGGGTGAGTAGGCAGAGGTTGGATAGGCAGCGGCGGGATGCTGGGGGTAGGCATGGGGGCCGCAACGGGAGCGGCGTCTGCCTCACCTTCATCCTCCACAATAGTAGGCAGCGCTATCTCGCACGAGTCGATCTCGTGGATCTCGTTCGAGTACAGTTCAACCTCTGGCGGGGCCACAGCTGAGTCGTAGCTTGGGGGCGCTTCCGTATCGTCAAGGTCAAGGTCGAGGTCGGCCAGGGTCGAGTTCTTGGACTTGTGGCCGAGGGAGCTGAAGAAGTTCTTGGCCATGGACATGATCTTTCTCCTCCTCGACGGGTGGCCCAGGCAGCGCTTGCACTTGGAATCGGTGAAGCGCTCGGGCTTCTCGCACTCATAGCACCAATACTCACCGGCGGCGAGCCAGTCGCAGGTGTATAGATGCTGGAGCATCAGCTCGTGGTTAGGGAATCGCTTGCGGCAGCGCAGCATTGGACACTCCCGCTTCTCCTGGGCAGACATCTTGTCGCATTCATTGCGCTTGACGGCGGTCCAGACGATGAATCGATGAAGAGCACACTCATCGCGTGCCGTATCACGGGTCCTAGCACGCAATGAGCCTCATCCCATGTAGCATGAGAGAACAGACAGATAAGAAACGAGACGAGATAGATGTGAGGAAATGTTCATCTCTTACACGCAGGCGGTCGACGATGCTTCACTGTCATCCGACATTACCGAAACCGAGGCGGAGACGGACGACGAGGTCGACTCTGTGCTCGAACGTCGAAGACTTAGACGGTGACTGGGGCTCCGAGTAAGTCGGCGTAGGGCTGAAGGGCCCGAACCGGGGCCTATCCCATCCAGGGACAGACGCTTCTTGGTCTCCATTGATGGAGAAGCGTAACCGGGACTTTGGTTATAAGAGTATGGGATTAGATGGGAGGTGGATGGGGATAGGACAATGGCTCGTGGGGACTGGATGGGACTCAAACAAGCCAGGGGGCAACGAGGACTGAAGCGAGAGGGGCAGCCAGAAAAAAAAGGAGGGTATCGAGGAAACGAGAAACTAGAGGCCTTCCTTATCCGCCACCCATGGTCATGATGTTTTTGTTTTATTCTCCTGGAGCGTCGAAGCTGAAGCCGGGAGGCAGCTGGCGATCGAGGTCCTAGGGCGAATGAGAGGAGGGTGTAGGACTCGAGAAGGGCCTAGGACTTGAGGCTTGTTGTGGTGGACCCGCGCGCCAGCTGGGGGGGGATGGATATGTACCGATGCTGGAGGGGGTGGGATGCTTCAGATGGAAGCTTGTCTGCAGTGCAGCAAAGGGTCGAGCGAGCGATTCAAGAGCTTTTGGTGCAGTGATAGCTCCGATCAAATGGACAAGGGTCTTGATCTTGGGACGGTATGTGTCTCGCTGGGGCAGTTTTTGCCTTGTAACAAGTGCAGACGCTTGTCTCGTCTTGTCCGAAGAGCACGCACAGATGAAGATGGAGAGTTGGTAGAGGAAGAGGACGCGGCAGGAGAAAGGTCAAGTCAGCCTGGCCTGGCTCTTGCACAGCACCAGCACAGCTCACTCGCTTTCTCTGCCACTGACAAACCGTCCAAGCTCTCCGTTCCATCCAATCCATGGCCTCCCTCCCCTCCAATTGCTGGCCCCTGCTCATCCATCCATGGACCACGGATGGGGGATGCCCGGGGATGGGGATGGGGGGGCTTAGGCAACGAGGCGGACAGCGACCTACTGCGCCCACCATTTCCGGCCCCCAGACTGACACTGACGACGCGGATTCAAGAGAATGCCCTGCCCGCGCTGACGCAGAACCCAGTGGAGTTTAAACAAGTCCGGGATGCGGCGGGCGTTTGTGTGGCGCCGCTCCAGTTCTCATCCTATCCATTCGACGGGCATCCCGTCCTCAACGTTGCGGACGGTGGACTTGGGCCATGACGACAGCAGCTTTCGTATCCATCCCCATCCATCCAGTGCTTCCCTCTCTCAACTACCTAAGATCGGGTCACGCCGCGCTTGGCGTAAAACGGGAGAGCCGTTTCCTTTCTCCTTCTTTTTGACTTTGGACTAGACGTTGCGTCATGCCGAACTCGATCTTGCGCTCGCTCTCGCACTTGTTCTATTCTGGTTGACACCAACAGCTCAGTTGCCCAAACGGGCCACCCCAGATCTCCCACTCTATCTCGTCACTTGGGACCACCAACCGGCACTTGATAAATCTCCCCACGCATAACTCAAAAAGTATCACTCGTAATAAATAAACCATTCGATATTTCTATTCCATCGCTCGAGATGCACACGACTCTCTCACATCGACTAGATATTTACATACCATGTATCGACCGATACTTGCGTCATCTCACCCGGAGTTCCCCATGTCTCCAGGGTGGGAAAAAGAAAAAAACGCCTTACACAAATGGTCCGCCTGGGCGCTCAACCACAACGGCTGCCACCTGACATGGACCTTGTTTTCAAGCCATAGTCTCAAACTATCGAGTTCAAGAGTCACTGACCGTTTATTGCTGCTCGGCAATGCCTAGCCTCGTGGGCCTCAAAAACCCTACCAGCTGAAATGGCGATTGGAGCATGGCCACCACCATACACATTCCCTCGCCGTCCACTCATCACCCATGCAGGAACACCTCGAGTCCTTGATTCTGAGCAATAGGCGCCAAGGACATCACAGTCACACTGCGCAGGACACTTGCTTGCATCCCATCCATCCATCCAATGCAAGCCATAAGGCTGACCAGTGGCCGATCTTCCGAGCCTTATCTGCCATGGCACCCTTGCCAATTCCTCACCAACATCCATCCCTATCCATACTCCTGGGACCATATGCAAAGCAAGTCAGTTCACGGACAAGCCACAGACAAACAAGTCAAGTCATGCCTTGATTCAATTTTTTTAATCGACAAAAGAACGTGGGAGCTCGCTGATGCTCCAATCTGGCTATGCTATATCTGTAACATGCAAAACAATATTCTATAGACCCCGAGAGGATATTCCCGTACCGCTCGCCTTGCCCACCTTGCCCTTCTTCTCCATAACTCCTTTTAGTACCCGTAGCTTCTCTTCAGTTACACGGATCGCCTCCTCTACCTCCCGCTCATCCATGCGGGCGGCACGCACGTTCTCCTCTGCAGTCCTCGGCTCCATTGCCCTCTTGGGCACGATGGGTCGATCAGAGTGCAGTCGGTCCATTCCGACTCGTTCCTCCAACCATTCCCAAAGTTCACTATCCTCTCTCCGCCACATCTCCTCATACGCTGCGATCCTGTCGGGTCGATATACCGCCATATCGGGACCATAAGAGGGCGGGCTTCTGCTCGGCGTGAATCCAAATCCAAACCATGTCGCAACTAGCAAGCCCACCAGAAGCCCATACATGACATTGCCTGTCAGAAGAGGCTGGATAATGTCCCCAATAGGTTCCAAAATCCCCCGCACTGGCTCCAAAGGCCCCCAGTTCTTCGGGGCCGGCCGCTTTGGCACGTGGCCTGGTTCGACGATGCCGGTCGACGTCTGGGAGAGCTTGGCCTTCCTACCCTTCTTCCTTGAACCCTTAAGTGCTGGAGTGAGTGGTGTAGTGGTCCCTGCTGGCTTGGTAGAGGTCGCCGCCTTGATAGCGGCAAACAAGTCTTTGGCATACTGTGTCTGTCCATCAGTTGCACCCTTCTCGATAGGACCTGTGTCAAGTTAGCAAATATTACGTCTCATCCTTGGTCTTGTACATACCCTTCAGCCAACTCTTGCCGGACCACTCGATCGTACAGTTCATCTGCACTCGAGTGGCATTGTTCTCAGCCCACGACAGACAGTACTTGGTCTTGACACAGAAGACGTTTCCACTAGGCACGTCAGGAGTCTGCGTCGAGCAAGTGAGGTTGATTGCCCTTTCGTAGTCGAGGTTTTCCAGCGTTTCAGAGGTAATGGTCTTGGTCTGCTTCGGTCCAATCGATCCGCCGAGCGGCTTGATGTAGGAAAATGTTCGAGTCCGGTTATCCAGACCCAGACCCTTCTTGTCCTCCATTTGCCACTCGGTACACTTTTGCTCCCCTGTCAACCAATTGGTCATGAAGGTAACAGATCCAGGACCGAACATGTAGTCATACACCTTGCCCAGAGGCGCTGGGATAACATCGTCTCCCACCACCCTGTCATAATGAGATGCTGAGTCACCGCAGTCGGTAGGGGCATGCGTTGCCGGGCCCGGAAAGCTGCCAGCTGCACCGGATGCAGGTGCAGCTTCTTCTGGAGCTGCGCCATTCGCAGGTACAGCCCCTGACGTCTTTCTTGACGTGACCTTCTCGGCATCGGCGTCTGTTCCGTTGGCCTCGGCCATGCTGGCGTTGTGCATCTCCTCGTGAACATCTTCGTCATAGTACTCTTCCTCATCATCGCTCTCATCGTCCGTCTCGGAGCCCCCATCGCCTTCGTCTTCGTCGACAGGTGGCTCTGTGTCGATCTTTTCTGTCTTGTCGCCTCCGGTTCCTTCTAACCGCACACCATTCAAGGTGCTCTTGAGTGTGGGATGTCCTAGTTTCCAGATGTTGACAATCAGATCGTACGTCGCATCTCGACTGGTGAAACTGGCAAAGACGTGCTTTGCATGCAATGTCGAGATCATGAGGCCGTTCTTGAACACCAGCGCCGTGCTTCGCTTCTCGACAGATACTATCTCGTCGAAGCTCATAACAAGAGTGGTTGTCCATCCAAAGATATTGCTACTGAAACAGAGATGACCCTCTGAGACATAGAGCCGTCCATGCGCGAGAATCTCTCTCTGCAAGGCACAGCTGTAGTCTTCGATGAGGTAGTCATCATCTGGCACGCTCTTGAACAAGTCATGAAAGTCGCGATTCCTCTTCTTACTGGCGATAGCAAACCCGGTAAGTTTCGGAGCGCTCAGATTTGGATGCGCCAACGAGCTGTTGGCAGCGACAATCGCAGCGCCTATGGTTGTTCCAGTAGTAACAGAGCTTCCGCGCTTCCTATGTGACTGCTTCAGGGCGCTTCGTAGACTCGAGGTCCGCTGCATTCCATTACTCTTGTCCATAAACTCGGCCGGCGGGGGCGTACGTTCGCCGCTGGCCGTCTCATAGAGCGAGCGAGGGCGACTCGACGGCTCATCTGGGATAAACTCCACGGGACTCGCCGGAGAGTCAACCGGGGCTGACTCGGACCGGGCGCGAGTGTCGGTCATCTCGGAGAACCTGGGGTTGCTGGGCGATGCTACAGAACTAGCCGGTTCGCCAAGAATCTGACTGAGACTGAGTTCACCTGCCCCAATCGTTGACACTGCCGACTTCCTGTTCTCCTTGTTGTCCGGCATCGGGGTGGATGGGTTAGGCTGAGATTCGCTCTCAGTCTTTGCGGGCTCTGTGTTTTCCTGGGTGCTCACGGTTGAGTTTCGAGCCTTGTTTCCGCCAATACCAATACCGGCACCCTGGATGCTGAAAGAACTGGCAGCGTTCTGTGCAGCTGATAGCATAGACGAGAAGAAGCCTGATGCGGGTTGCGCGCTCGGAGTGGCTTCACCGCTCTCCAAGGTCGGGGTCAATGGTGCCGAGACGATATTCGAGAGCTTGCTGGGGCCGATAGTCACAGAACTTGATCGACTCCTTCGGTGCGCGCTCATAGCCCGTGAGGAGGAAGTGCCATTTGTGCCGGCGCCTTGGCCCGCACTACCCCAGAAGGATCTCCTATCGGGAGATGACTGGCCGGATGCGTTGGCGAACTCGGTAGGCGTCGGTGGGGTGTTTACGATGACGGGTGCAGGCTTGTCACCACTCGGGGGGGTTCGAGGAGGAAGATTCGTGTCAACCTTTGGTTGAACCCGCGACCGCCTGTCGGGGGACGCAACTTTGGCTGCAGCTGGTGGCTCGATAATAGGCGGGACCTGCACAGGTTCAGGGTCCACGGTAATGGTGGGCTGTTCCCTGTGGGCTTCTGGCGGTGGACGAGGCTCGCTTGAGGGTCGACGTTCAGGGCTCGAGTTGCTGCCGCTGCTCTTTCTGGGCTTGAAGATGCCCTTGAACTTGGTGCCGGGCGAGGCTGAACGGCGGTTGGAGTTGTGGGGGGGAAGCAGGCCCGTCTTGCTCCGGCCGATCCGGAACTCCCTTGAATCGGTCGAATCAGAGCGCTTGGCCGGAAAGGTGGACGACTTGGACGCACTGCTGTTGGAGTCGTGATCGGTGGGCGACTGGGACTCGGGGTGATGCGACAACTGGACGACGGGGGACGAAGTCGTCAAGTATCCGATTTGGGAAGGATGAGAGGAGAAGGGCGCAGGTCGAGAGGCGGATCTAGGAGTCGACGACGATGCCTCAGTTAGATGAAAGAGCACAGACGAGTAAGATAGAAGTAGAAGGCTGGCGGGTGGAGATGATGGAGAGTGTGCCGTAGGGCCAGGAGACCGAGCTGAGTGCCAAGCCTGCCAGGTACAAACGAGATAAGATGGCAAGCAAAACGAGAATAAGAGAGCTATACGGAAACGAAGAAGAATCGACAAAGAAGCCAAGATGCAGTGACAGACAGATAGCACGTGTGGATGGATGTAAGCATGACATGAAAGGTTGGCGCGGCGGTCAAAGCGCTGACAGCCCGTCTGCCAGTCTGTCTCGCTCTTGGTGGCTTCTGGGAATGTCGCAGAGGGCAGTGTGGCATAACGGGGGGTTGATTCAGCCTCGCAGTTCCCGCCCATCGGGGTTTCCGCGCAACAAGGCAAGCTACGAGCGAAAGGAAGGGAAAGTGTCGATGGGGATTCAAGTACAGAAATGGAGAAAGAAACTCACGATTCCGGGTCCGACTCGTAAGAGCGATGGCTGGTGTCTTCGTCTTCATCTCCAGCAAGGTTGCCAGAGCGCGTGCCATCACTCTCGAGCGTCTCGCGACTGGATTGCGAGTTGCCAAAGACATCAGCATCATCGTAGCCCAAGATCAATCCTCCCGCGTCTCGCTCTTGTTTCCTCCGAAGGCGCTTGTTGGAAATGGACTTTGGCAGCAGCTTGTTCAGCCCATTGCTGCTGCCGTTGTCGATTGTAGCCATGGTGGCCTTGGCCGATCGCCGCGCTCAGGAGGATTTGGATTTCGAGGGGAACAGACGGGGTGGTCGAGTGGCGGCGTCCAGGTGACGGCGATGACGCTCCGGCCGTTGTTTCTCGCGCGCAGCGGGCCGATGCTTGGTAGTCGACGTAGGGTTTGCGAATGTATGTACGGCGGCGGTAAGGAGTATGTGAGTATCCTCTGCAATGTTGAGGCTCAGTGGCCAGCTAAAAGGGAAAGTGAGGTCTTGTAGTTGGATTGGAGTTCGAGTGACGATCTGTTCGAGACCGAACCAGGTTTGACGTCGTTGGTCGGACTTAGCTCGATGATGGATGGTTGCTGGAGACGGGCCAGGCTACGGGGGGACCTAGGCTACCTAGGCTAGTCCAGACCAGGATTGGCCAAGTGCTCGTTTTTCGGTTTCTCTGAATTCCTCGCTCTCGTTCAGCGCGTATGCTCTTCTTTACATGGTTTTATGGGGTGGTCTTGGTCTTACAGATGCGACGAGCGTTGCTAAGGAGCTGGAGCTGGTGCTAGAGCGCATAATAATCGTGGCCTTATGGAAAGGGGATAGCTTCGTTCGCTCCATGCAGGCAACCAGGCAGACAGGAGGAAGCGAGTCGGCGGTACGGTCAGCTCGCAAATCCGTCGGAGAGGTAGAAACGAAACCCGCAACGCCGTTTACCAACAGCCCCAACCTCCGTCGCCGTCCTTCCCTTCGGTCGTAAACTCGTATGTAACCACCCGAGTGCGATACCCCTGGATGAATCCGCCGGGTGGGGGCCGCCAATGGAGAGACTCAGTGGAGAGCCATACGCAACCCCTTGCGAGGTCCTGCACTGAAGCTCTCACCAGACAAGGAGCTGCGGGCAGCAGCGGCAGCAGTAACTGCAGCTTGGAACGAGCGTTGTGGCGCAGCGGTGAGTCGTCGGAGTCCGCCCTACGCGAGATAATACGCGTTTAGTTATAGAGTACTGTTCCGTCCTGCCTGTAAGGGGTCTCTTGAATGCCGCGACAAGGATTGCGGGCTATTTCTAGAGGTAAAGGCAAGCTAATAAGACGAGGGGTTATACAAGAGAGATGAGAAAAATCTCCGGCCTTGAAGACAAAAGGAGAATTCCGTGTATGAGGGTGACATCTCGCCAAGGAGAGATTAGACGGCGACAGACAAGACCGAGGCCGCGTATTCAACTTGATCCATGGATCTCTTATAGTTTTCGACCCAGAGGCGGGGTATGAAAGCCAACAGCTTCCATTTCATGGGATAAAAACCTCTAAGGGTGTCTACATCTGCGGATAATGTCGCAAAGTTCCGCATGAGGAGGGTTGGAGCCGGATCGACGTGCCGTCGTGCGTGGTTCTTGGCCGCCAAGTTGATGCAGTCATCATCTCGTGTGCATTCTTGCAGATGGAAGAATGACGAGAGGGTGGGCAACTGTTGATGCTTTGGTTGATCATTTCAAAGATAGATATTGGTTTCGAAACCTTTTCGATCTTTATTAGAAAAGCAGAGTTAAGAAAACTAACACTTGTATTCTCTTCATCCTGAAGCTTCTCAGAGATCAACTGCCATCCTTCTCCACAGATACCAAAAAGTCCCGCCCCCAAACTTCCATGACGGAACCCCGCCAAACTAAGGTGATGATCACTTTGTACAGGTCCTTTTTCGGGTGCAGAGGGCTGAAACGGCCTTTCTCGAATGACTGATGATTGCGTCAAAGGTTCGACAACATCAGCAACTGTCTTCTTCACCTATGGCTTAGGTAGAGAGTAAAACATCAAGGCACCAGGCACACAAAAACCCAAGCATTCCTGTCTTGTTTTATCTGCCTATATTTTATTCTTGGTCGTCTCGGCACTAGCAGCTGCCGCATCCCAGTGTGGAACTCTAAGTCTTGTGCCTCTTGTCTCTGTCTCTCCACACTTGACCTCGTCACGCTTCGACATCAGACCGTGTACTACGAGGCGATAACGCAAACGTACTCTCCAGAAGAGACACCTTTCCTCTTCTCAGCGATACTACAACTTCCACCACTCATGGAACCATGGAGCCCTCGCCGCTTGTAAAAGCCCACGACCATGTGCGCGCCGCCGGTGTCGCTCACCAGTCCTCCGATACCATCGTCGCCATCACCGAGCATACCCAGGCCGCCGGCGAGTTTGCCAGCGCCGCCAGGTCGACGTCGAGCATCGAGGCCCTCCGAACCCTGAAGCTACTCGAAGAGCACCACCGCAAGATCGCCGAGATTCTCAAGCGACCGGCCGAAACCCCGTCCCAGCCCGGCGACACCGACATCGACGAAAAGGCTCAGTCCGACAAGGGAGGCGTTGGCGTGCAGGATGCCAATGCCAAGAAGGAGAATAGACAGGAGTCGGCGACGTCCAAGAAGCCGGGTCCTCCTACGCAGCGACGATATGCCCATCGCGAAATGTCATCGTCCATCGCCAGCAACTTGGCTACCGCCCGTGGCATTCGATCCAAGTACAGAGGCCAGCCTCTTGCGCCTAGCGTCTCTAACGACCAAGCTCCGGGCAACGTCGATGCTCACTCACGAGGACCAAAAGCAAAGATGCAGAATATCATAGAGCAGACCGGTAAACCGGCTTGGGTCCCGCCTATCCCACCACCCACACGATCCGAGAGTCATGGCAAGAGCTCGTCCTCTCCACGACCCGATACGGCACCGTCTATTGCTGCTGGTGATGATGGAGGATATACCCGTTTCTATAGCACCTTCGGAAGCCTCATCAATAAAATCTCAGCACCTCTGGCCTTTGCTGGCTTGCCGCTGATCCAGGAAGAGTCGACTGCTTCCGAGAGGCCAGAGTCACCAGAGACATCCCCAAAGCGCAGTCACCTCAAGGCCTCTCCGTCCAAGGTTTTGGAGCCTGACCTCTCCAAGATCTATTCCAAAGCAACTATGCAGGCTCTCGTGCGAGATGGCCATGGTCCTAACGATTCCTTCTACGTCGTGCCGACAACTGGCCACACCATGTCATATGCCAACATCTTGAGTTTTGCCGAAAAGGAAAAGAGACGAGGAGCCTCGGAACTTGTTGATGGACCAGATGAAGACGATGATGACTTTGTAGACGCTCGAGAAGCTCCGCAACAGTCCCCGGGGGTTAAGCGCCGCATCGGCCGGGCTCGCACGGACAAAGAGCTCAACAACATCATCGAAGAATTGCACACGGAAAACAACTCCCTCAAGGACATGATTGACAAGCTCACCAAGCGCCTCCACGCCTTTGAAGCCAGTGCTCAAACTCCTGCCATGGCCCTCGCAGAAAGCTACCGCCTTAGACGACCCGGATCCCCCATCGCATCACCGCACCTTAGCAAGACGGGCGACGAAGCCCTGCGGCGCAAGAATCAAGAGATGGAGGAGCAGCTCGCGGCGGCCATGAAGCAGATGGAGCGGCTCGAGAAGGACAACCGCAAGATGCAAAAGACGCTGGATAAGTACCGCGAGAAGTGGGAGGTGCTTAAGGCGGGTGCCAAAGCGAGGAGGGAGGCTCAGGGAGCTGGTGATAGTTTGGAGGATGCGTCTGCAGCGGCTGGGTAGACATAGCCTAGTTGATTTTCTGGCAACCATACGAATAAATTTGATCTGCACTTTTTCTGCGGTATACGAATGAATCAAGCTGAATCGTCTCAAATGATGTGTTTGTCACTTACAATGCTGGTCAACATGCTGCCCTTTCAAGGCTATTTTATACTCGCTCTCATGACTCTGTCTAGTTCCACCAGAAGCTCACACTGAAGCTCACACTTAAACTTTTCACATAATGCCACCATCCGATTGGAATCACCAACGTGTCGCCCGGCTCAAGCACGCACTCCCAGTACTCAACACCTTCCAACTCCTCTTTCATCCGCCTTACGTCTTCCTCACTAGCCCCATCGGGTCTTTCATCCCATCCTTCCAGGATGCCTACATCTAGCCCGCTTGTGTTGCTCATATCTACACCATGTTCTGGTGACCTGGGCCGCATCATAGGCGTGGCACGTGGAGGATAGAGACGTAGGTACTTTGTCCCGACGGCCTGGCATAACAGGTTATGATAGCCATCAGTGTGCAGAGGCGTGATAGTACGCGCAGGACCGAACCAGGCGTTGAGCTGAGGAACGTCGAGGGGCGCTTGGTCGATGGACGGTGTCGTCGGGTGAAGAGGCACATCAACCCAACAAAAGTCGGGCACGCGGATGTCGTTTCGGAGAGAGGGGATCTGCTGAAAGAGGTTATGCTGGGCGAGATAACCAGTCGTTGAAGATGCTGTAGAATCTACCTCGACATAGCGGGCGAGGAACTCGCGGAACTGGGTGAGTTCCTGGCCCCAGCCTTCGTCGACGTAGCTCCTCCCGACTTCAACCGGCACGAGACGTCTTCCGCCAAACGTCTTGGATAGGAGATACTCGGGGCTCTTCCAGGGACGATCCGTAAGTGCAGGCCAGCTCCCAATCAGGTCGGTAAAGACGATCGGCCGAGGTTCTCCTCCGTTGCTGTTCATGTAGTCCTCAAACTGTTCCATCGACCAGCCAGAATAGCGAGGACACGCTCTTTCAGAGGACATTGTTGGCCTTCCATATGGCTCCTCGCTAGAGAAGCTACGCTGTGGCGAGGCCTCTCGTCTCTGGCGCTTTGCTGGTCGCTCATGCTGTTTGTTCGCTGTCCAAGTTTCCTCGAGTAGCTGGAGAGTCTTTTCGAGCCATTGACTGCGTCGTCCACCTCCTGCTGTGACGAGAGCCCTATCGAGTTTCTCGACGACCACGTCTAGAATATCTTCTGGAACAGACTGTGACGCTAGGAGAGGACGTAGTATCAGTTGAAAGGTGTCGAGGATGAGGGCGTCTGTGTAGATTTCGCGCCATACGGCAGGTAATAGATCAAAGCGATAAGCGTAGAATTTGGATAATGAGATGGATATAAGATCTGATATTCTTCTTTGCAGTAGGCTCTCGTCGACTTCGTGGGTGTCGTTGCTGGAGGCTAAGTTCTTGTGAATCTTGAGGAGCAGATGAGCTTGCCGCGTGAGAAGTCGCATCATGGCCTCTGCCGTTGGATCTGAGGTGTTTGAACCATCCTCATTATGACTAGCCTTGTCACTTAAGAGGTCCTTGGAGTCATCAGCTCCATCCTGGGACGTTGACGTGCTCCTTGTCGACTCCTCGAGGCCATGCTGTGCAAGGTCGCAAGCCACATCCAAGTACGCGGCAAGGAGCTGCCGATGAGGCGCTAACGCCATGTTTCAAGAAAACCTGGGTATAACAAAACGAACAAGGAAGGCTTTATTAATTAATTAAAAGTCCGTGCGAAATGTGGCTTCGGGCCGTTGCATTGCTTAATGCCCCAAGCGAAGATGAAGGGTTTAGAATTTGAGACTTGAAATTGCTCGTTTGGGAAGTTGATGAGACCACACGACATACGATAACTCGAACTTGCGAAACGGGCTCTTGGGCCGTCATTTTACATATACTGGAATCTATAGTTTGTCCCAGAAACGCCACGTTCATCATGTTTGCTATATAATTGCTGCTCGACATGTGCCAACAAGGCCTGGAGCATCCTGTATCATAAGGTAGGAGGAAGCAACATGGAGAGCCACGACTCTCTCGACGGCTCTTTTCAATCGCTTCGGGTGGATTTTTACATGTTACACGTATATATCTCTTCAACAGGTCCATACACCTACTGTGCCGTCCCTCCGGCCTTCGACCAGGTACCCGTCTCTTACACGTACACGCTCCACGATAGCTGGAGACTTGCCGTCCTCGGCCGCCGTGACGCCAGCGCCGCAGTCCCATTGCCGTCCCTCCACCTTATCGTACACCTTGACCACGTCCTCGGACGCCGCGCTCACGATGCGCCGTTCGTCAAACATCATGCTTGTCACGGGGTGGTCGTATGCGTACGCGTCGTAAATAGATCCTGTTCGGAGGTCCCAGATCTGGAGCTTGATTAGAGGATATCCTGTCGAAGGGAGTTTGTAAACTTACTCTGATGCTTCTGTCTATGCTTCCCGTCACCAGGTGCACGTCGTCAAACTGCAGGCAAGTCACCGCTCCTGTGTGTCCAACCAAACTGCGATGGACCTGTCCACTTCGGAGATCCCACAGACGCACCATGCCGTCGGCTGTACCACACGCGAGAGCCGTTTCAAAGACCTGCAGAGCTCCGACAAAGTCGGCGGAACTTGACTGAGATCGTCCTGTGGGCCTCCATGTGTTGTCTGTAGAAGTCATGCTTGCTGCCGCTGCCCACATGACATCCAATGTTTGCACGCAGCGACCCTTTTCAAGGTCCCAGTGCCGGATTGTCTTGTCTGCAGAACCGGAAACCATGACGTCCCCCCGGAAGTGAAGAGCCGTAATCTCGTCGACGTGAGCCTCTAGCGTGTACAGTGGACAGTCGGACATGCTGCCGTCCGGAGGCTCCAGGTGGTTGTCCGTGCCAAACGCGATAGCATCCTCATCGTCGTCCTTTCCGAGTCCTCCATGAGGGTCATAGTGGGCCTTGCTGAGATCCCATAGTCTGATAGTTGCGTCCATAGATCCAGTAGCCAAGATATTATCCTCAACCTGCAGAGCGCGTACCGATGCTGTGTGGCCTTCCAAGTAACCCATACATCGGCCGGCGTTGAGGTCCCAAACCCTTACCGTGTCGTCTAGTGCAGCCGTTACCATTGTGCCAAAAGGCGCATCGAAATCGACCGCCGTGATAGTGTCCTTGTGTGCTCTGACTTCCCGGATGCTGGTTCCAGGCTCAAAGTGCTCGTGCAGAATCGGCATTGACTTTTTGCGGAGGACCTTTTTCGCTTTCCGGGGAGTGCTTCCTGTTGAAGATGGAATCTTTTCATAGACGGATTGTGACATGAACTCGTGGTCATGGTCATCGGCGTCGCCAACAAGATCCTGCTCATCCTTGGTTCGTGTATTTCTAGCAATTTCCTCTGCTTCATCAACTAGAGCCTGGGCATCCTCTACCCGAACCTCCATCTCGGAAACTGTAAGGTCAGCATGGAGCTCCTGGGGCATTGGTTAGCAGGGCACATACTGTCGTGTTCCAGCATTGCCTCGTCTTGCTCCAACCCAGCCAGTCTCTCTAGGATAATTCTGCGCATGCCGTGGAGGTTGGCGATCTTGTTGTCGATTTCTCGAATCTCGTAGCTCGCCATGCTCTTGCGGGTACCCAATAATCCAAACTCGTGCATCATGGCGGCCTTCTCCTTTTTCAGCTGGGTCAACCGCTTAGGGCTTCCCGGCACACCGTCTGAATCCTCAATCATCTTGCGGCCTCGCGAGACCCGACGGCGAAACTTCTTGCCCTCCTCGGTCAGCTCGGGGAAGCTAGCCTGGAAGCCCTGGAACAGCGAGTAAGGGTTTTCATGGTCGGGGATGTTGGCAAGAAGCTCGTCGGGAAGATAGGTGAGGGCGCGGTGCTGGATCTCGTGGGTCGAGAGCCTGGAGCGCATTATGTCGGTGGGCGTCGTCCTTGCCATTGCGAACATGCTTCGCTGGACCGTCGGACGCTTCATCTGCTTCTGAACCTCGGCCATTGCGGCTTGATAGTGGAGAGCAGTAGCTTCGGCATTGGGGCCGATCAGATGTGTCGCTGTGGTTGTGACCTTGCGACTGAAAGCCTCAAGCCCGCGCGTCTACTCGAGGGAGGGAGCATTGCGGTCAGCTATATGCGGCCGAGATTGGACAATGGGCGAGGGGTGTTGAGGCTGAATGCGGCTCCAGCCCTCAAAAAGATCAACGCAACACATACCGACACAATGGACTGGTCGTCGTCTCCGCCCTCGTCAAAGCCATAGTGGTTCTCCTGTTCTGCCATGGCCTAGCGACTGCTAAACTGCAGAAGCTAAAGGGGATCGGAGGGGTCAGGGAGCGGGTGGGTTGAGGGGGGGAGAAATGGCGCTGGAGTCTTCGGAGGAGAAAGGTTCAAAAGATTTGGCAGTTCGCGAGGAGATTCTCATGACGCGCGCCGGGATAACCTTGGCTCGGGCTGGGCTGCTTCCAAGTTTGGGGCCCGGGGGCTTCCAGTCTCAAAAAGCCCCAGGCCGGCTTGGGGAGTAAAAGCTTCTGACCGAGGCGCTAATGTAGCCGGCTACAGGTACAGAGGCCCCCTGTAATTGGTTCCTGCGGTACCTCCACCACTCCTCTGGAATCGCTGGAATGCGATGGATCGGGCAGTTGCGCACAGAAGCTTCCATGTGTGCCCTGGAGGATCCATCCATTGCCTCCAATGCCCGCTGTGGCTTTTTTTCTTTTCTTGTTTGGTGACGTCCTTGATCTCGGACACACTCCCCGAGGTTGGGTAGATAGACCTAAGCTTTGCTTCTGGCGCGGCTCCATCTTCCGTGGCTTTTACCGGCTTTACCCCTCCGATACCGATACTCGCTCGCACGCACGGGCGCAACAATTGATCAAGGTGCCGACCTTTGCTGACCCAGTTAATGCCCTCTACGTACCTCCCGCGCTTCGACTAACAAAATAAAAATCCATACCAAAAAAAACAAGTCCGTACCCACACACATTGATTTCGTCTCCGAATGCGCTCTGCCCTGGCCCATCACCAACGTTCCATCGTCAGCTATTCCGGATTTCCGCCCAAGTCGCTCCTAGCCGCTCCCTCTAGGACCCCGTTCCGCTCTCTTATCCAGATCGCAAGGCCCTACAAAGGTCCACTCAATCGACATCTGTTTATAACCCGTCTCCAGCTCCGCTCAATCGCTGTTGCGAAAGCCAACATGGATACCGTCATCAACATGGCCGATGCCGAGCACGCCCTCGATCTTGCCCGCATCCGGTTCCAGCTCATGTACGCCCTCCCCCAGACGCCACCGGATCCGACAAGGTCACGGCAGGGACTAACACGAGTAGCCGTCTTGAGGATACAATCACTTTTCATCTGATTGAGCGGGTGCAGTTTGCATTGAACAGTGTAAGTGGTCTACCGTTGCCCCTCATGCGAACCCTTACCCCTGCCCCTTCCTCCTAGCCCTCATCCTGGGGTGCATGATGTTCAAGATTAACCATCTCTATGTTTAGAAAATCTATGTCCCTGGCGCTCTCGAGCTACCCCAGGGCCATCATAGCTTCCTTGACTGGTACTTTAGCGAGCAGGAGAAGCTCCAGTCCCTGATCCGCCGCTTCGAGTCGCCTGACGAGTACCCCTTCTACCCCGAAGCTCTACAGAAGCCCATCCTCGACCCCCTCAACTACCCCAAGATCCTCCACGACAACGATGTCAACGTAAACGACAAGATCAAGAAGTTTTATATTGAAAAGTTTCTCCCCGCCGTGTGCCCCGACTTCGGCCGCGAGGAGCGGGGCGAGTCTCAGGAGAACTACGGCTCGACGGCGACGTGCGATATTGCGTGCCTGCAGGCTCTGTCGCGGCGCATCCACTTTGGCAAGTTTGTCGCCGAGTCCAAGTTCCGGTCTGAGGAGGAAAAGTTCACACGCCTCATCAAGGCCGAGGACCGCGAGGGTATCGCCGAGTCCATCACCAACAGGGCCGTTGAGAGAAAGGTGCTCGAGCGGCTCCGCCTCAAGGCTCTGACCTACGGCAAGGACCCCTCTATCCCAGACGGGACCGAGGGCGCCGCCAAGATCAACGTCGATGCCGTCGTGTCAATGTACAAGGACTTTGTCATCCCGCTGACCAAGGAGGTGGAGGTGGAATACTTGATGCAGAGGCTGGAACCGGCCGCCTGATCCTGATGGATGTTGATGTTGATTTATTGCGGAGCACTCAGATATTCATTAACGGCCTTGACAGCCCCCGGGAACTTGCTCGCCTCGATGAGGATCATGTGTCCATGCGCCTTGACGCCCATCTCTTGGAATGCCCGCTTGCTGTCCGCCACCGACTCGTCCTCCTTTGTGTAGTTGAAGTTACCGTACGCCTCGGCGTGCTTCTGCAGCACCTCGTCCTCGACGTGGAAATAGTACACTCCAGCCTCCTCCTTGGCCTTCTTCCGCTTCTGGTTCTCCTGGTCCAGCTTCGACTCGAGCTCCTGGTATGTCTTGGACAGGATCAAGTAGTGCGAGAACTCGTAGGGCTCCTTGTCTTCCACGGCCGCCTCGACCTCGTCGACGAGCATCGAGTAGAGGGGCGGCGCCAGCTCAGAGGGCATGTTGATGAGTCGCTCTGAAAAGATCAAGCCGACGTGCTTTCCGCTGTTGAGCACGTTGGCGACGGGTGCGAGGGATGGGTTGCTCTGCGCCTTGTTCACCAGGTACTTGAGAATATCATTCATGGGCTCCTTGTTCTGGTGAACGGCGGTGTTGAGGACTGTAAGCAGAGCGTAGGCGTCGTTGGCCTTGCCGTCGACCTTGATTGTAGAGCCGATAGTGGGCTGAGAGAGGACGAGGTCGGAGAGAGCAGACATGTTGAAGAGGTTCGCATCGACATCGAAGAGTTGTCGCAGAAGGGTTTTGGTACCGTGGAAGTCAACCTCGGGGTCAAAGTTGAACCATTCAAACTCGACATTGACCATGTCGAAATCCTGAAAGAATTAATTAGTAAAGAAGCGCATGCGATCCTCTAGAAGCCGCAACTCACCTCATCATCGGAGCCATCCTCGTCCATCTTGTCCACATCCGCGGGAGGGACATCCTTGGCTTCTTCGCGCGCTCGCTTCTTGCCCATTGTGATTGCAGGTGTGTAGGAGCTGTTCCAAGGGTTCAGGTGAGGGGGAAATGGAGGTATAGTAGCAAAGGGAGGCTACTTGAGTCGTCTTGCGAAAAGTTGAATTGAAGTTTACTCGCAAATCTTTAACTCAACGACCAGTCAACGAGGTCCAAAACATTTTGCGAGCCCCTCACTAGCGGCGCCGATAAGATAAGGTCGCCCATTAAGAGCGAGCCAATGGGTTGGTGGCTAAGTATAAAAAGCCACGCACTTTTGAAGGCGACATTAGTATTAGATCATATATCGTCCAAGCTGGTCTGAAGAGTGCGCTATCGATTATGTCGCCCTAATAGGTAGCCAAGTATTATTCGCACCATTTCGACGTCCGAGGCAGAAGCTTGCGCCCAGTGAAGAAAGTCGGGGTGGGTTCCTGACCCAACACGGCTGCAGCCTGAACCACCACCTCAGCTTCCGTCAGCCAGCCGCGTGTATTGTAGAGTTAGAGATAGCTTCCATAGAGGCATTAATCGAGCCCCCTAATTAACCGCTCTTCCTCTCTTGACGGCATCTCAATGATTCCTGTGTGCGCCGTGTGATTCTCTCATTGCCCAAAGCGTCCGCTCCGCTCCACCCCTGCTCTCTTCAGGAAGCTCAGCTTGAGGTAGAACCCCCCCGTCGGTCGGTCGTCCAGTGTCTCCCCCGTCCGTCCCTGCCGACCACCGCCGCCGCGCCGCAACGTCATTCCTCCAAACTTCAGCCTCCCCGTCTCCTCTCGCATCACAATCGCCCTGAACCAACCATCTTCAAAACATCGCCGACCGCACGATGGACTACAGCTCCACCATCCACGACACTGACGACCCGGCCGGTGCCTCTCCCTGGGGCAACTCTCCCGTGTCGTCGCCTTCGCGAAACACCTCCACCTTTCAACCCATCTCAGGCGATCCTCCCCCCTTTCGCTACAGCGCTCAGTCTTCGAATGGCCTTGCGCAGGATCACTCTGAAGGAGACAGCTTCCCGAGGCCAGGCACTGCGACGACTGCTTCCGGCACTGAGGATGGCACCGAGGCCTCAGGCACCCTGAACCCTTCCGAGTCAGAGTCGACCGCAGGTGTCGAGGAGGGAGCTCCCGCGCATAGTCAACAACAAGGCCAGGCTGCTGCGCAGGCTCAGGAGACGCAGACACAGCCGCAGAAGCCCGCCCAGCCTCAGTATAGACTCCAGGCCAAGATCACAGGACTCGAGCGAACGGGCAAGAAGGATCCCATCCTTCGGTTTGACGTTCACGTAGGAAGGCCTCTGCCCTCTTTCTTGGTCGCGGACTAACAGAGCCCAGACAAACATCCCCCGCTTCCGTACTACTCAGTTCCGCGATGTCCGCCGACTACACTCCGAGTTTGTCAAGCTGGCCGAGCATCTGATATCCGCCAACCCAGAGGCCCTTGTTCCTGCGGTTCCCCCGCCTCTGACTTCGGCCGGCGCAGGTACGGATGAAGATGAGTCTCGTGTCAAGGCCCTGATGCAGCGATGGTTGAACTACGTCTGTGGCAACGAGGTCTTGATGCAAGACGACGAACTGGTGCTCTTTGTTGAGAGCGATTTTGGCTACAGCCCCATGGTTAAGAGGAAACAGCCAGCTACTGGCGTCCGCAGAAAGATTTTGAAGCAATTTGCTCCTCCTCCCGATGATACCCCTGAACTTGCGGATGCTCGACCTACTGTCAAGCTGTTTTACCTTGGTAGCATGGACGCTGGCCACAAAGTTGACAAGCTGGTCAAGGCCCGGAGAGGTAGGTGTCTCGCAGGATTTCTGTGGATAATGCTAACCTATTCAAGGGCTTGGTCTTTCTGAGGCCGACTACGGTGCCAAGCTTACGAGCATGAACGTTCAAGAGCTTCACCCCGGTTTGGCCAATGCCTATCGAAAGCTGGGCAAGGTCGTCCAGACCGTTGGCGACTACCATGCGGCTCAGGCGACAGCCGAGGCCACCACCATCGGTGACCCGTTCCAATATCATTCCCAGGATGCATTCATTGTCAAGGAATCTCTTACCAACCGCCAAATTCTCATCCGCGAGTTTCTCCAAGCCCAAGAAGCCACTCGCGGCAAGCTCAACGCAGCTGACCGGCTAAAGGCCAGTTCCAGCGTTCGTCGCGAGAAGGTGGATGAGGCCATCACGGCCTTGGATGATGCCCGTCAGCATGAGACCTACCTGTACAACAAGACGAACCGTGTCACCCAGAACCTTGTTCAGGAGCGCCGCAAGTGGTTCTCCAGGACGTCGTCTGACCTGCGCCTGAGCATCAGGGAGTACGTGCTCCGCGAGATTGAGGCCGAGAGACGGACACTGGCTCTTCTCGAGACGGTTCGACCAGATATTCGATCAATTGATGCCTCGGGCGGCCTGAGCCGTCTCGGTCGTGAAGCGCACCCAACGGTGCGCCGTTCAAGCCTCGCCGCTAGCCAGGGTCCCAAGGGTGACGCCTGGAGTGGTGTCCCGCGCCGCTCGGATGCAGCGAATCGCAGCGTATCGGGTAGTCTCATCAGCAAGGTCTCTGAGGAGGGTGACAACGAAGATGTCGCCGAGACGACCCAGGGACGAGCCGCGGGTGGTCGCACAAACCTCAAGGGAGTGAATGAGGAGGACGACGAGGATCGTGTGGATGCTAGAAATGCTGCGAGTCGCCTGGCGGCCAGCACCTTCTAGGTTATCTATGAGTGATGGGAGGGTAGTTATGTGGATGGGATGACGGATCAGGGCCTGCCTCAGTTTCCCCCTCTCGCGATAGCATTGCTCTGAGCCTGATGTCATATGTAAAATTGTATGCTTTGTTTCCTCGTCTGCGTCGTCTCATCTCACATGCGTGCGGGAAGGGTTTCACCTTTCCGGAGTGCGTCCCCGGGCAGAACGCCGAGGTGTGAACCGAGAGGGCCATGCATCTACCGGTCGACTCTGTTGCCCCCTTGTCCTGGTGGCGCCGACGGTTGACTGTTATTTCGTCACTTATCATCCATCATACCCGATCGCAAAGTGATAAGCGGTGTAGATGTGGGCTTTGTCACAGTTGTTCCAGCTGTTTACCCCCGATTCCGGATGCGAGGTGCTGATGAGGTGTTGCGTCAGAGCCTTGATCTTGATCCATCATCTTGAGGCCAGACATCGAGATGTATTCCGAATGGAGACCTGTGCACAGCATTACTCATCTGCTGCACTAAACCCTGGGATTCAGAGGCCTCGAAGATAGACCCAGATAAGAGGCCCTAACTCATTGGATGCGCAGTCGAGTGAAAGACCGGACATCTGTTTCCACTGTGACCAGTGGCAAGTTGCAGCACAACACGTTGTACTGTGTGACTGCGACACAGACCAGCTGTTTGGGCCATAAGGGTAGGCGGTTATAGATTGTGCCCATGTAGTGACTATGGCGGGATCCCAACACACATGCTGTGTTACTTTGATGGCGATTGGGGGATCCAGCAGATCTCTTTCTGATATCAGTAAGGAAGCGGGCACAGAGAGAGAATGAAGCAATTCCCCGCAAGCATTGAATGACTCCTGGTTCTTCTCGGCAGGACTACTTGACCATTGGAGCCAGCTCGTGGGCCAGCTTTCGTCATCCCGTAGCCAAAATTGCTCCGGAACAAACAACCATTCACGCTGGGAATAGGCCGCCTGCATCCTATGATATTCCACTCGAAGCCACATGCTTAGGTGGTTGGCTATATTGCGTGACATGTTCGTCTCTTTACCAACCCAAAGCGGAACGGATTTGTGGCCGTCGAGCCTGAACCTGCAAGGGGGTAAGGTGAAGACGCGTATATTTGAATCGAGGGAACGATGCTCCACCATGTCGACAACCAGTAGAGGTTTCGAATGCATGTTCCGTACCAAAAAAGCTTGCAGCAATTCCAAGACTGACGCCGGTGACTGGCCGCCAAGTTTCGACTGGGTAGCATCGCAGGACTGCATGCCGAATTGTTACCTTGTCCCGAAATTTGACAATCGAACTATGATCGGCCTCTTACCACGCTCACTGTTATCCCGGGGGGTCTCATACACGCACAGCCGGCTGTGCGTTT